GATATCAGGCTGGGCAGGGCCTACCACCCCACGGACACCCATGGACTCCTCCACATCCACCCCTGAGACCCTGAAAATTCCCTTCAAGAGGAGGGAGCAGCCTGCACCCAGCCAGCTGCTCTCTTAGGTTTGCACCGCATGCACAGAGTTGCCCAGCAGATCACCGTGCACCGGGAGGCTTGGATTCCACAGCAGGTGCTGAGGAGCGGCAAGAGACGCGTCTTGGCCTTCTGTTCAGGGCCTCTGTGAATATTCTACTCCCACACGTGAGGGAGGCATCCAGAAGCTCTGGCGCCCCACTCTTAGATCACCCTCAGCGAGGGATTTCTTGCTGGTGTGCAGCTCATTGTAACGGGTGAGGCGACAGCGTAGCCTGTGCCCCGGCGGTGGGATGTGTTTGTTACTGCAGACCTCCCTCCTCCACATTCTCCAGCTCAAGCAAAGTGAAAACAACTCTTCTTGGCTCTTCCGGTCCCTTGCAAAGAGTGGAGCCAAGCATGGAGCCCTGGACACGGAGGCCCAGGCCAACCGAGCCCCTGGGGCCGTGCCATAACAGCCAGCACAGGGGTTCCTGGCTCTGCACAGCGCTGGGCTTTGTCAGAGGGCACCCGGAGCTCACACTGGAGGGCTGCAGCCGCCTTGGCCTGCTGTCTGCGTCCCCGGAGCAGCAGCTTCCGCTCTTAGCACCTTTATGTTCTGGCACTGCTCGCCTTGTCTGGGATTCTGTCCTGCTGCCTCTCCTGGTATAAAATGCACTCAAGAGGCACAGGGGTCATTTCTGTGGGTACAGATCTCCCAGCCACTGAAGGTCCCTTGGGAGCCTTTCACAGAACGACCTGGAAGCCTGGCTCAGGAGGAGGAAGTGCTGAGTGTTCTGACCTGTGGCTCCAGGCAGACACTCGGGCTCCCCCCTGGAGCAAAGCCAGGCCTCCCTTTTGTTCTCACTTCGTGGCCAGCCCTCCATGTCCCAGTGGCCTCCAGGACAGTGGCTGGGGCAGGAAACACACCCTCCCCTAGGTACAAGGAAGCCTCAAGAACAAGTAGATAATTTTTGCCTTTGTGGCCCAAGTCCTGTCCTGTCTCCCGCAAAGCCTGCTCTTTCCTCAGAAATCTTCCAGTTCAGTGAAGCAGCCGCATTCTTCTCTTCCAAGGCTTCCAAAGTCATAGTTTTTCTGGGGTTTCTAAGGTCATATTCCATGGTATCCTCCAAACTGTGGACAGATGTCCCGTGGTGTGTGTCCTGCAGCCAGAAACTCTTAGAAATCAGAGATGTTAACGAAGGTTAGATAGCTTTCTCTTCCACTGCGGTCCAGGACTTTGTTATGGGAATAAGAGCCCCAAGAGAGCAGCACCCACCACACCTGCCCTGGGCTACATCTGCCTAGCTGGGACGGGGTTCCAGGTGGCACAGTTTAGGGATGAGGACGGAATATGACAGCACACAGCGCTTCTCAAAACTACACCAGGTCCTCCCCATTCCCCCCATCACTGCCGAGGCCTGGAGATCTCCTGGGGACTTAGCAGAAGCGGCTTCATCTGGGCTCTTTGGCGCGTTATCCAGCCAGCGGCTGCTGAAGTTCACAGCAGCAGCCCCGAACCGCAGGCTTGAAGGGTGTCGCTGGCCAGGAAGCCCTCACTGACCCCGAGGACCCGCTCGAATCCCGGCGCCAGTGGGCTGTGCCCGGAGATGAAGCCTTCGCACCGCGCTGCCGCTCCTCCCCGTGACGTCGCTGGTGCCCAGCGCAAGGCCTGGCTCACAGCGTGCATCTCGCAAGCACCTGCTCTCAGAGGCAGCAGAAAGCAGGCAGGAGGGCAGACGCCGTCCCTGCTGCTGTCCAGGGGCCCTGGGCAGTGCAACTATGGAACGTGCCAAACTATTGCCAGCCATCAGCAAATGAGAGGACCTGCGAGGTGCTGCAGCTGGCTCCCGGAGTGGGTCAAGAACCACACGCGCATAAGCGATAGGTAAAGCTAAGGGAGACTTACAGACACAGGCAGAGTAGAGGGGGCTATTTTAAAATCCATTTCAGCTAGCATAGAAAGCAGAAGAGGAAACTGTTAACCTCCAGCCTCCCTGAGCCGTCTGGTTAACCAGGTTCTGGAGATGCGTGTCCATCTTTAACACCCGAGTTACAACAGAAGCGTAAAGTGCATCTCAGGGACAGAGGACTAGGCATAAAAGCGAGCGCCCTGGGTGTGATTAGGGGCCTCCTCCTCTCCCACACTCGCATGGAAACTTTGGCTCCCTCCTGCAGCCTCGGCGCAGCGTGGGGGCGTGGCCGAGCTCCAGGACTGCCCCACTCACCTTGATGGTGGCCAGCACCTCCTCCACGATGGCACACTGCCTGGGTGTCAGGCCCTTGGCATCCTCGCGAATCATGTGCTCCTGGAAAACAGGTTCACTCTTTCAGTCAGCACTTTCAAACGTGACCTGCCAACTCCCTGCGTGCCAACGCTTCCTGTGGGAACACCTCCTCTCCTTTGAATGCAAGCACTCTTCAGTGATTATTCTGCTAGATACTTAATGAATATCCATTTTGCCAAAGGAAGAAGTGGTAAATACCAATTTGAAGAAAGCATTGCTTTTCCAGAGAGTGGCTTTCTTTTTACTAGAAGTTAATGTTAGAAAAGTAGGTGGAGAAACTGAAAAGCATGTGCCAAAGCCTTTCTACACTGGGGTCTTCCGGGAAGAAGGGGCTTGGGGCGCCAGCCTTTCCTGGCCCCCTGTGGTCCACTGCCAATGCAGTGCCTCTCCCCAGCCCCCCACAAGAGCCCCAAGGGCCAAGTGGGTTTGGCTATGTGGAGTTTGAGTCTTTCGCAATCATTCTAATAGCTTAGAACTGATTTCATAACAGTGGATTTTCTTCATTGCTTGCTGTCCCAATCCACCATTCACAGCTTACTTAGAGAAATGAGGGTGTGAAGTTGGAGAAATAATAAACAGGGAAAAGCTAAGCATTTCCTGACCCCAGGACTGCCACCATGCTGCTCCACGACAGGTGCCACACAGGTAAGGAGCACGCAGTGCACCCGTGTGGCTCGGACAGTGGCCCAGCGAGGGGCGCTCTGCGCAGTGCACGGCACTCTGCCTGGCCTGGCCTGGCCCGCCTGCTTCTCTTCCCAGGATTAGTGAGTGTGTGGCTCCTGGAGAGGGCTATTTCCCACCCGTTCCTTCAGGCTGTGTGCTCGCAATGGTGGTGACTGAGTAGAGACCCTCAGGGAGCCTTGAGAGCGCCTGTGAAGGACGGAGCCACCATCTGGGGGCCTTGTGGGAATGTGCAGCGCACGTCCCGGGCCCAAGGTGCACCTGTCTCCAAGCGGGACCTTCAGCTCCGAAGGGGCAGATCATTTAATGTCGCCTAAGCACAGCACACAGTGCTTTTGAGACTCAAGGATGCACGACGCGTGCTGGCCCAACTATGCTTTGGATTTAACAGCAGTTCGTTCAGACAAGGGGGTCTTGGGAGGAGGGCAGCACTGGGCCACTGACCCGAAGGGAAGGCCATGGGCTCACAGTCACTGGTGTGTCACCAAGGGTTTCTGATACTGTCAGCCATCATATGGATCGATGCACCTTCACTTTGATTCTTATGTCACATGAGACAGACTGCATTGAATGGTGATACCAGGTATATGTGACACACATATATCGGGACGTTCTAGCCTGTGCTGATTATTGTTGGCACATAAACCTCTTGAATAATGGCTTTAATGAAGTCGTCCTAAGTCACTGTCAAATGCAGGAGAACAGCTGCTGCAGTTCCCCACATTACTCTGTTCTTCTCGACCTTGTGTCCTTTGAAGGTAGCATCTATTAATATTTATATGTAGGAGTTGTGAAATTATCCATCAGCACAATAGTTTCAAACAGCATCTTTACAGCAGATCAAACTCCTTTTAAACTAACACACTGAATTTTTAAAGTGGCTTAAATTTTTTGATAAAGGAAATGACAGTCTAGTAAAATAAGTGCTATTAATTTTGTAAATTTTAAAATTCTTTGTGCCAGTGACAGTTTTAATACTTCGCATACGATTGTAGAGGACTCTGAGAGCTGTAATTCAAGTTGAGCTGATTGGACAGGCCCACTTTCAACAGAAACTTGCACGGGCCAAGAGCAGAATGGCACAGCTCACCTTCCCATCAGCTGTGGATAGCAAGGTGTCATTTTTAGTCCTTCCCATCACTTCAGTGCACTGAAATAGCCTTTTAGACCATTTCATTCATACTCTGCCTTAAGACCCCAAAGAGAAGTCACCAAAATGCAAAGCCCTGGTGGTGACAAAGGTTGCCATCTATGTTCCTGCAGGAGGTGCACACGCCCTGGGGTGCTGGGTAGGTATGGACATCAGGATGGGGCTTCACGGATGCCCTAGGGAGGCAGAGCCCAACGGGGAGGTTCAGCGAGGTTCCTGTGTGCTGCGCAGCGTGGCTCCTTCCGCTCAGGAGCCCTCGGGTGCACCCGTGGGTCCCACAAGCACTCAGGGGAGGCCCATGCTGCCTCACCTTCAGGGCTGTGGGGGAAAGCTCCCCCACAGAGGGACCATCCCAGGCCAGGGCAGGATCCAGAAATTCCAAGATGATAAAGGAGGAAATGTCAGAGACCCAGGCTCTAAAACCATAGTTGGCTGGCGCATCTGTCTGCCTTTTATTTGCTGTTAAACCCGGGACCTCCATGGCATCACCCTGAGCTGCCTCTCCAGCCCTTCCCTATTGTTTTATTCTTTGAGGGCGGGGCTCACTGGGTTGCTAAGTCACGCAGGCTTGTCCGGAGCTGTGACCCTTCTGCCTCAGCCTTGTCTCCTCAGCGAAGCACCGGGAGCACTGGGCACCTGTGAGGACTCTGAATGACAGCTCCTCCCTGTAGATGGGTGGCAGTTATTCAGCCCTGAGAAAGGCGGTGACGTAGACAATAAACAGAGCTCTGGAGCTGCAGATGCCTATTTCACCTGCGTGCCAGATTGTGCAAATGATGCTCCCTGCTTCATGTGCTGCAGGTGGGGCAGGGTACCCAGATCCTACCTGGGACCCTGCTGGCCCAGGATGGTCCCTCTGCCAGTAGCAGGCAGCGTCCTTTGCAGATGCCCACAAAGTTAGAAGACACTTTGTCTCCCTTGTTTTCACAGGAGCCACAAGCCAAGTGCCTGCATCTTCTGCTTCCTACAGATGCCAGCTCTAGAGGCAGGAGTGGCTAAGCACTACAGCCAGTGCCTCATCGTGTGGAAAGCACAGCCGAGTGCACCTGTGTCTGGAGCACCTCACTCAGCTACGTTCTAGTGGGCTAAACAGAAAGTGATGGCCGAGTTCCTCCCCCAATGCTGTAGGGACCGGGGCTCCTGCACAGCGTAGGCTCAGCCTTAAGGGAAACCAGCGTGCTCATTATTGAAGGCTAGGCGAACACGTCCATGAGTGCACTGCCTGCCGTGATGAGAGTTGTGGCTTTCTGACTTTAGGGCCTTTCTAGACTTCCCTGAATTTCTGTGCAATGCTCCTGTCCGCCTTTGTTCACATAAGAAAGAAAGTCGGTGCTCTAATTCGCTCTCAGAGTAACCATGCTGCTGGCTGCAGTGCAAGGTAAAGGCCTCAGAGCAGGCTGTGGGGTCACAGGTGTCTGCCTTCCTGGCCCACTGCCAGGACAGCCAGCGGATGGGAGAGCTGAGCCAGTGCCCGGCTTCCTGGGGCCAGCAGCGCCTTGCTCACCTTACCTTCAGTTTGGATAACTGTCCCAGGTCTTTGGCTGTGATGAAAATCATCTGAGGACCCTGGAAGCAGAGACGAGGAAAAGGAAGATCAGCCTTGCAGAAGCAGCTCTGGCTGTCGCAGGAAGCAGCTGCGCTGCACTGCTGTCCTTTATGTCCCATGTCCTTCCCTGTCCACTTGAAAGAACTGGGCAGAGAACCTGCAAGGCCGTCAGCACAACGGCCCCCACAGGCTGCCGCTCCGAGTCCAGTTGTGGTGCACAATGCCCAGGCCAGGCCGGCTGGCCCGCGCTCACACCCCTTGTGGCTTACTTGTGACAGAAGCAGCTCTCTTACTGACCGGAACAAAGTGCAGCTGCAGGGCCGGAGGAGGAGCGACTCTTCCAGGAGCGCGGCCCAGCCACCCCATGGCCACCTGTCCTCTCACTCTGTGCCTCTCACCTGGGTGCTTTCTCCACAGCCACAGGAAGACAGCAGATGCAGGCCGGAAGTCTTCCTGCGCTGCCAGGGTGGGGCTGGGCCAACCAACATGCCCACACTCTTTAGCAGCTGGCGGTATTTCCCAAGTAAAGGAAATCAAGCTAATATGCTCTTTCTATTGAAGACCATGTCGTCATTAGGGAATCAGGGACTTCCAGGTTCATCGCAACAAGGGCCACGGCCTGTTTTGCTCATAGCTTATCCCCAGCCCCAGGACAGTGCCCTTTACACCTAAGAAGCTCAGGTAATGTTCACTCAGTGGATGGATGGAGGGAGGGAGGGATGGAGGGTTGGAGGGATGATACAGGCTCACACTTGGAGCGGTCAATGGTTGCCAAAGTCAGGTGGTGAGAAGCTGCTATCAGAAGCCTTTTTATGGAGAATGAAATGCTGCGGAGCGGCTCGTGCAGTTATATGATTAATAGACTTAAAGCTTTACACATTTATATAGTGTACTTAAAAGCTTCACGTTCTTCAAAGTGGTACACCGACTATCATAAAGTTTATGGGGAAACAGCGGTGGGCAAGGCAATCAGACACCACGGGACTCTCAAGAACTATTAAAAATAGTAACTGCTACTGCAAGAGGCTGCGCGGCCAGCAGCGAGCTGGGCACAGCTGTGGTGCGGGGGCACGGAAGACGTAAGCCCCCCAACACAGAGGGTGGGCTGTGGGTGTGCGGCTCCCGGCGAAGCCCGACGCCCCTGCCCTGTCCCTGCCCCGCTCTGAGCACACTTAGCACGAGAGCACGCGCCGGCCCGCTGAAGTCACAGCTCTGCTGTGCCCCAGAGGCTCGACCACGCGGACTGCCACGGAAACAACACGGTTTCCAGATGGGACCGGCACCTTCCTGCCTAGCCGTGGCCCGGCCGCCAGCCGGGGCAGAGCGAGCTGCGTGCGGGCATCCACGTGTCCACCCGGCTGCGCTCCACCGGACGGGACGGTAACTGATTAAGCGCACGTTCGCAGCATTTAGTAAAATGTCGAGTATTCTGTATTTTATCGCTCCCAGGCAGCAAATTTTTTTAAAAAAAGTTATTTTTGGCTTTGGAATACTTTATAAAATACTTTTATCTCTAGGATTCCACTGGCTGTATGTGGACTGGCATGCAAGACTAACGTTGGCAGCACGTATTTCAGCGCACGGTTGCTCATGATGCGCATGTTTCGCTTCCGCAGTCTCAGGCAAGCACGCGGTAACACGCGTGCGCTGGGCACCGTCCCCTTGCGGGCCCAGCGGGCCGGAGCCCCTGCGCGGTGCGGCCGGGCCTGCCTGCCGTCAGCTCTCTGCCCGCGGAGTTCCCGCTCGCGTGTGTCTCCCTGCATGCAGGCAGCCGCCTCCTGCAGGTCCACCAAGAGCTTCCTCCCCTCGGCCTCCACGTGGCGGTGTCGGGGAAGCGGGACCCGAAGGGCCCGAGTGCAGGGCAGTGTGCGCCCAGCACGCGTGAGGCCCAGCGCGGCCCCCGAGTCACGCGCCACCCCACCCCCACGCCGGCCCAGCGCGGCGGGACAGCAGCACACGTGGAGCAGTGCGCTGGCAAACTGAACCTGGATTCTTTTCATAAGCAAATGACAAGCCAGTGTGAAGGGTGGCTGCCACCAGCACTACCTAAAATTGACGTGGATGGAAAAGGAGTAAGTTGATCAGTCATTAAGAAATCATACACCGAAGACCTTCCTGGGTACTTCACCTGGGGCAAAACCATTCTCTTAAGCAAAAGGAAGTTATAGAGACTGCTGGAAGCCAGCCACACTGAGGTACTTACTGTTTGGTCTGTCAAGGGAGGGAGGACAATCTGTTTCTCCATTTTGTTGAGAACCAGCTTCCACAGCCCTTTCAGGACTCGCTTCAGCACTGTCTTCTCACAGATTCTGGCCGAGAGACTTAGTCTGAAATAGTGCATGCACCAACTTGAGGTCTCATTGAGGGAGCTGGTGACTTCACTGACCCTTAGGTTTGCCTAAACTACTGAGATTCAAATACTCGAATAGCTCTTTATGATTTTAAAATGCTAAATTCCATAATATCAAAAGCATTTTCTAAGTCTACACATTAGATAATTCACTGTGTTTGGCTGGGAAAGAAATCTCAACGTTTACCTCCTTAAATTGGTTCCTAGGTTGACAGGAATTTCAAGTCAGAAGAAAAACCCACTTGAAGCATGCAGAGTAAATGTACAATAAAGGAAAGGGCCCCTTTTTGCTCCCACATAAAATCTGTCCTGCCATGAGCTCACTGCCACCAGGCTCTGGCCAGGGGCTCAGATAAGCATGATGGAACAACTCCTGTCACGCTCCTGTCAGGGCAGCGCCCCACTCGTTGTGATGAGGTCACAGCTCCCGACGTCCGTGTGTCCCCTCACCTGACATGGAGCTGGCACCTGCCCACGTCCATTCACCTGGACTGGATAACCAAGAAGTACGTTTTTATTACTACTGGGCACGAAGCTACAACATGACGAAGGTGCTTGTTGTTGCAAACCAGAACCCAAATTCACCACGCTCAGTAGGCGTGCATCCTATCATAAGCTCTTTCCAAGGTGAAGTAACGATCTTGCATCCGTGAGCACAGGTACGACGCCTCGCACACCTCTTCTGTGTAAGTGTCTTGTCTAGTACCCCCCTGCAGAAGCAGCACAGAGACCCAGGGAAGCCGCAGTCCTGGTTACAGGAGTGCGTGTTGGTCGGCTTCCTGCTGCTGCATCCGGGGCCCGTGCCCACCGTGGAGGAGCAGAGCGGTGGTTTGGCTCATGTCTTAAGCAGACTCAGTCGATGGTCAGCTGGCTCCATGGCTCCCCATGTGGGGAAGCCAAGCTGCGTAGTTCATGGCAGCAGAGCAGAGCCAGAGAGGAAGGATTGAGGGACAAGACCCTGCCCCCAAGCCAAGCTCTGCGATTCATCAGAAGCATGTCCTCCCATCTCTGGGGCATCCTGAAGTCAGTCCAGGTGACACTTGACCCCAGCCGTCACAGAGCACAACCGGAGCAGGCCAGAGCCAGGCACACCCAGGATGCCTTCCCGCTGTGCATACCCAGGATGTCTTCCCACTGCGCACACCCAGGATGCCTTCCTGCTGTGCATACCCAGGATGCCTTCCCGCTGCCCTGGGATGCTGGTGAGTGTGCTTGCCTCTGAAGGCCTGGCCCGTGCGGAGGCCCAGGACTGTGGATCACCTGTGAAAGGCTCTTCAGGGCTCCTGAAGGAAAGGAGTTTCACTTGTCTCAAGAGGACTGAAGTGGGCCCAGGGCAGCCTTGTTGTCTTCCTGGGCACTACTCAGCACCCTGGCCACTTTTGGACTTAGGAATAGTCACCCTGGCTCTGGTTCTGACAGGCAGAATTGCTTTCTCATAGTAAAAGACATGCATAATTAACATTAATAATTGATCTTAATAATCAATATTTAAATCAAGTAATGTGACATATGAAAGGCAAAGAAAGAAACCTAACGTGTAAAAATGCTTACAACTCTGACTTGGGTGAGACCTACCCATGGGCGTAACCATGGAAATCGGTGTGGCTCCAGTGGCTGGGAAGCCGTTGTTCACAGGTGGCACTGTTAGTGTGCTGCTGAGGGCGTGCAGTGTGGACCCGGCAGGCGCACGCAGAGCGGCAGCGGCCCTCGCTCCCACACCCCTCAGGTGGGCTGAGACACAGTGAGCGCAGCGTGTGCTTTCGAAAGGTCTGAGTGCAAGAACTGATGCTTCCCGGTTGGCTCCTACATACAGTGTGCTGGGCTCCCCTGTGTAGGCGGGCGATGCACGCACAAGGGTGACCCAGGCAGGCCTGCCTGGGCACTGCAGCCCCACCCATTGCTGCTACTGGGCTGGAGCCCTCAGCTCACCGCACGAGCGCCCAGATCTCCGTGGTGGAGGTGGGTCGTGAAGACGGGTGCACTACTCAGAGAGGCTCACCGAGACAGAGAAACCTGGCGGCTACATGTAACAGTTTCATGGGGATTTTCTCAAGACCACGTTGGAAGTTTCCAGGCTCTTACTGCGCTTTCTTTTTGTTTTGTCGTAGAACCGGAGACTGAGCCCAGGGCATTCACCCTGCGCTGCATCCCAGCCAGCCGTGTGGAGCTTCTGAGGCATGACGTTGACGTGCCCGGGCTGGGCCCCCATGTGTAGCCCTGCGCCTCCGCCTACAGGGCTGCCGTTGCTGGCCTGTGCCATTATGCCAGCCCTCGGGTGGAGAAAGGATTAAGATGCCTGCACACATGTACCAGCTGCCCAAGTGCATGCAGTCATGATATCTCGCCAACATGTGCTAATGAGGCGCCCGTAGGCCTCCTTTGCATCTTGGCCGCTTAATCAGTCATTGGCCGCAACAACAATTAATGAAATAGCACAGGGCAGTGACCCACGGCCCTGGCCCTCCACAGGCCTTCACACTCGATGCCTACTTCTGCCTCCACCTCCGGCTGGGGTGCGCATTGAACAGTGCTCATGTGGAACTCCTGGGGCCAGAACCGCTTCGGACTTTGTAGTTCTCAGACTTGGGAGCTTTTGCATGGGTTTTACCACTTGAGCATTCCTGAGGCTGAAAGCTGACTATTCCCAAATCTGACAGTTTTTTGAGCGTCACAATTTTTACTAAATTAGAGAGGAGACCTAAGAAACTGGCTGGCTGCTCCCCCATACCCTGTGGCTGAGAACTCCCAGCTCCCCCTTCCAGCATGCGAGGTCCCCCTGGGGCCTGGGTTCGACCCCTGCCTGGTTCATCCCTGCCCAGTGGCTGGGGAGGGCGGGTACCCACGGGCACTCAGGCCGAGTCAGGCCACCTGGCAAACCCCGAGGTGCCAGTGCTTGCTCCCCTCTCCCTTCCCCTGTGCAGTGACTGCCGAGTCTTCCCCATGCCACAGAAAGTCAAATACACTGCTCTCCACGGAACTCATTTCCTGCTATAACATTTCCTCTGACTGGCTCACCCACAGGAAAACAGTGCTTCGTAAAGCCCTAGCAGTCAAATGTAGGAATGTAGGGCACAGAGCGAAGATAAAATGGGGCAGAAAACTTACGTTTTGTCTAAGAAGTCCATGAGAGGCCGCAGCACGATCGCCGCATCCAGGGCAGCGCTGTTCTTGTTGGACACAGTGTTTCCATTTGCTCTCATTTGCTGGAGCTCAACGCTCATCTGCTTTACACACTCTTCGATTACAAGCTGAAAACTGAAACAGGGAAGAAAATTCTGGAGTGAAGAAACCACTTTGCAGAGGTCTGTTCTCACGCTGCCCAAAGAGCCTGATGCGTCGCACATGCTGTAAATCTCACTTGCCAGCTTTCAGAAGGACTTCGGCTGCATTGAAAGGCCACGTGGAGACTGTGCAAACGGTAAGAGTGATGGTCTCCCGGCTGCACCAGCGGGGCTCCAGCCTGTGTCAGCGTTAGCTTTGCTGAGTACTGTTTGGAGAACGGGCTGCTCTGGGGAGGTGCCGAGGGGGCAGGGGCACACCCCATCGGGTTTCTGTGCCTCCCCCGCGAGGTCTCCCCAGGCTCACTGCCGCTTCCTCCACCGTCTGACCTCCGGCCACTGGAGCTGGGCCATCGTGTTCATCATGGAGACGTGCAGGCAGGCCCTCCTTAAGTCTGATTCAGGATAAGTATGTGCGTGTAATATCTGGGACATAATTACACTAAACAATGGTTCATTGCCTGTATGAAATTCAAATTCACGTGCTCATTCATGCTGTCGCAGGTGCTGAAAATACATCAATGAATAGAGAAGACCTGGCTTCTTGGTCACACAGCATGGATGAGAACTTTATTACTTACATTATGAAATATTCTAGTTAGGTTTGTTCATTTTTGGTTTTACTTAGTGAGGGGAATTTTCAATAGATTGTAAAGGATCACAGTTTGGGTGTTTTTCTTATTCCCGGCCCTATAAAGGGAGGTTAATAAACACATCAGTCCATAATGTGGGACATATTTTCCAGGCCTGAAGCTGCATCGCCATGAGGTTGGCCCAACTTCCTGTGGCTTCTGACGTCTCCCCAGCTTTCCTGACATCTCCACCCCTCCAGACCTCCATCTGGACTTGGATCTCAGCTGGCCCAGAAACACGGCACATTGCTCAGCTCTCTTTCTATTTATCTGGTCCAGCAGAGCAACCTCTTCCAAGACAGCATCCAGGGGAATCCAAATTCTGACCATTTGGCCTATAAGGCTGGGCCAGGCATTGGCTCCCATGAGGCAGAGGCTGGCGGGGGGAGAGCGTGGGGTGGTGAGAAGGGGGGATTGGGTGTGTCTGGCTGGCAGTGTATTTCACTGGGACTATGACAGTCAACACTGGAGAGAAAAGGGAGACCTAGGGTGGCGGAAGCGTCTGGCTAATTGCTTCCCACAGGATCGTCAGTGACCGCTGGCCATGGTTAGAGTCACTTCAGAAGTAATGGCTTCCTTTGGCACTGACAGTCAGATTGATACTCGCTCCTCACAGGGTGGGGAGTCCACCGAGCAGGGGTCTGGAAATTATGCTTCAGATATAGGAAGGTAGGTTCCTCAGCGGATCCATGTGGGCATCTGAAGGCAGCTGGGTGTGGGACCGAACACGAAGGACGTGGAAACACAGTAGGACTCTACTTTTGCACGAGCTCTGGGCAAGCCAATACCCACACGTCACTGACAAAGCCTTTAGCTTTATTAAGTGTTAGTGAATCTACCTAATAACCTTTCTTCTATCCATTTTTTGGCTGAGGAAGTCTATTAGTTAGCTTGACAAGAACAGTGCAGGAAATGGCAACAGACTTGGTGAGCACCCAAGGAGCAGAAGGGGCTCACAATTCCTAGGAAATAGCCCAAGGCCTTTGTTCACCAGTGCAGCCTGCCACTGGTGCTAACTGTGTCGGCAAAGGCAACAGCCACACATAAGGAGAGAAACACTACCCGGAAGCCTACATGGTGCAGTTCTGAGACTCTTAGGGCCATGTGTACTTGCAGGTTTTCCGGCATTGCCATAGTGAGGTCACTGCCTCAGTTTCCAGGCGGGGGCCACGAGGGTCAGGACCCAGGCTCCCAGTGTTAAGCGTGGCATGGCTCTGCCCCAGCTTCCTGAAAAGCTCCCCACCGGCTGCAAGCCTAGGACAATTTAATGTTCGTGACACAGGGCAGACTGACTTTCGGAGCTACTGATGCAGCTATTTTTAAAGCCATCCACTGCTACTTCAGCTGCGCCCCAGGGAGCTCCAGACTAACTTCCTGGTTCAGCTCTGTGGCATGGTCCTGGGGATCGCTGTGGACTCCCGTGCACCCTGTGTGTGACTCTCCATAGCAACGAGGAGACTGCGGTTACTCCTGTCACAGCAGAATGTGACGTGGGCCTGATTGCTCCAATAACCCTGACTGAACAAAACACCACCTTCTCCCCTTGTCTAGAGGAGGATAAAGGGCTGGATCTGGGTCATTGTGGGCACCAGGCCTAGGCTCAAGCACCTGCCTGGGGCAAATAAGAGCCCACAGTGTGCCCAAAGCAGTGCTCCTGCCTTTAGAAATGAAGTCAGCACACGATAAGCACCTGCTTCACACGTGTAAGGTCCTGAGTTTGATTCTCAGGAATCACAAAGAAAAAAAAAGAAATGAGGCCGGCCGGCCCAGTCCTTCCCAAAGCGCAATTTGTGCTGTAACCTGCATAGCATGAAGATTCCTCCCTCAAACAAAACAAAATAAGGGACACTTGCTTGTTGGGTGGTTCATTTATTTTACAGAAAGAGCTGACATGCTCGTTAGTCATGTCGTTTCCATTCCGTGGGGCTCTATTTCCCACGCGGTGATGAACATGTCCAGCCCCTCCCGGCCCTTCTCCACACCCTCCCTAACTTTGCCAATGTTTTCCCTTCATATTGAAGTCATCACCTTTCAGCCAAGCACCGAGTTCACATGGCTGAGCCACAGCCAGCCCCTGTGCGCAGCGTCAGTGGGCACCGCGTTCAGGGCACAGCCTCTGTGCCCGGAACGACCCAGACAGAACCCTGGTGGTGGTGATGGGGCTCAGGGAAGGCCACAGAGCAAAGGCGCAGGCTGATGCCCAGCTCTGCCCTGCGCTGTGGGGTGGGCTCCAGGGTGACGTCCCCAGGCCACAAAGCTGGGGCTGCCTGGAAGGCCAGGTGTGGGCTCTTCCTCACTCCACCGCACCCCCACATCTGAGAACAGCCGGGTGCTTCTTGTGTCTTCCCTTCTCAGTCTTTCTCATTAGGAAATGGCAACAGTGAGCACAACAGGGCCTCTAGGCTGACTGAGTGTTCAAACACTCAGCAGTGTTCAAACTCTTGTCACCCTAAGAGAAAGGCATGGTCTCCTGGGAGAACAAAACATGGCTGAAGCTGCCAAGGCAGCCTCGATGGAAGGCATTCTTCAGGTAGTCCTATGTTAAATTAATGAACCTCTTCAATGGTGCATCTGGCTTGCAGTTTGCCATTTGGCAGTGAGATGCTTCCTGCTACAGGACCCAAGTAAAGTTCAATGAAAGCAAACTTCTCTCTTTAGAGCCAAGCCATAAATAACCTAGAGCGATTTTTAGAAAAACAGAAAAGTATGTGGAATTGTTCATAGATTCTACACTCCTGGCTGCAGCCAGGTAGACTCAGTCCCTAGGTCCTAACACCGAGAATCCGGGCCTCCCGTGGCCTAGGCTGGGGATGCAGCTCCGCCAGATGCACCGGCTTGCCAGCCCTGAGCTCATGCCTGGAGCACTGCTCCCTGCCCCACTCGCCCGGCACTGCTGAGCCCGCCAGCCTGGGGCTGCACACGGGCGTGCATCTGCCTGGCTAGAGGAAGGCGGGCAAGCAGACAGGCGAGGGGGCCTCACCTGCGGCCATGGGCACCGCGGGCTTTCCAGAGCTTGCGGTCAGTGGAGGAGTGCACTGCAAACCCGATTGCGGCGCAGCCACTTACCTCTCTCCGTAGGTGATGCTGAGCCCATCCAGCACCCCACTGAGTTTCACTTGAAGCTCCTTCAGAATAGTGCTCGCTTCTGGGTCCAGCTGCAGAGAGACCACAAGCGTGACTTTGGACTTTGGAGGGTGCACCTTCATCTTTCTCAGAGGCCTTTTGTTTGTTATACAGAAACTTGAGACAACCACACATATACACATATATTTTCTCTCATTTTGTCTTGTTTTGTGGTACCAGAGATAGAACTCAGGACCATGCACTTGCCAGGCAGGCACTTATGCTGCTGAGCTATGATCCTGGCCTCATTGTGTCTTTGAAACCAAATGCTAAAGTTTAGGAAATGGTGGAGGGACCAGCAGGGCTCTTCCACGTGAAGCTGGCTCCCATGCATGCTTATGACGAAGAGCCAGACAGCAAAGCTTTGGTCGCTCACAGCCAGGGGATGTGGGGTGGACTGCTGCCTCCCGGAACACAAGACCGCACAATCTAGAAAACCCACCGCGTCATATGTGAATTACATACAGGTACTGCTTCAAACTATTTCGGTCTTAATTCTCCTGCCAACAAATGGTCCCACTGACATAAAAATTCAGTTAAAAATTAGCTTTTGAGAACAGGTTGAGTATCCCTAATCCAAAATGTTTGGGGCCAGGAGCGTTTTGGATTTCAGTTTCTGATTTGGGACTAGGCGCCTCGGTCCCACTGGCTTAGGGTTTGTCCACCAAAACTCTGAAACCTGAACTATTCCAAACTTATTGAGCACCGAGTAAAAGATTTTGACTTTGAAGCACTATAGCGTTTTGATTTTGCAGTAGTGGTGTTAAGCCTGCACCATGCTCCTAGCTCACTGAAAAGCACCTCCAGATTTTCCAGAATTTTCAGCGACAGGATGAACCAGCTATGCGTGTGTGTGCACACAGGCCTGCGCACAGCAGGTGGCCTCTCTCCCAGGGTGTCATGGCAACTCAGCTTGAGATGCAAAGTTGAACTTTTTAATTTTAATAATTCAATTATTTATAGGTTGAAACTAAGCTTGTGAATAAATTTAGATGCAAAAGAAAAACAATTAGCCTAAGATAACTCATTTGTGATGCTTCTTGTTGCAGTGCAAACATCAAAAGTCAACTTTTAAAATCTAATTAGTTCTTATAATAGTGTTAGTGAAGATTGCAAAATAGCTTATAAACACAAACAACAAATAGACACCAAAATTATTTTTGCAATTAAAGTGAAAGACCTATATACACTTTACCAAGCATTTTAGAAAATTTTTGTCCAGTTTGATGATTGTATTTTTGTGAAATAATTGTTTTTGCTTTTTTGGTGGAGACCAAACAAAGCCTTATAAGAGAAACATTAAATCAGTCCTATAAAGGGAAACTGGACTATTATCTGAACTTGAAATCCTCCTTCCTTGAGCCTTTAGAAATGCCATTTGCCACCATGATGTCTATAGTTCCTGCCTGATCCTGTCTGCTTCTGCAGGGAAAAAAGTGGCATCAAGCTAACTTGGGGGTGCAAGTACCACTGGCTACCATGACGGAATCAGTGGGACAGTCTCAGGCAGATGCAGGCCTCGATCTAGCAGTTGAGATCCTGAGATTTGGTCTTAGTTACTTTTGTATTGTCAAAATTCCCAACACCCAAAGCTAAAGGAGAAAGGTTTGCTTAGCTCACAGTTTGTGAGGGTTTCAGACCACAGCCGGCTGGCTCTGAGGCAGGGCGGTGCACAGGGCGGCAGGGCAGAGGGGCAGGGCAGCAACAGCCCAGGCGAGGCAGGTGGGCAACAGCAGCAAGCAGCAAGCCTCCCTTTCCCTTTTCGTCCCATCCAGGGCACAAGCCACCCACACCCCGGGCGGGCCTTCCCCTTAGTCTGGAGTAAATCCATCCAGCCACACCCAGCACTACGCTAATCAAACCAGGGGCTAGTCCAGTTATCACACCCATCACTCAGCAGCACGCCCACGATCCAGTCATCACAGAAGTCCCATTTATGAGCCCATGAGGCTTTGGAGGGACATTAGACACAACCTGTAACCACGCCCCAGCCTCAGCAGAGAGAGCATGTTGCTGGCCTGTTCCACTGGTGTAGAACCGCACAGGGCGCTTATGATTGGATCTCTTTTTATTGTTCTAACACCAGCTTTGTGTTGACTTCACATGGATGAAAAGACCAAGGAGGGAGTGAGAGAGAGGTGCCCCAGTCAGGCCTGGGTTCCCACTCCCCATGACCCAGACAGCTCCCTCCAATGGAAAGCCCGAGAGCAGGGTCGGGTCCGTCCACTTGCCAAGGTAGCGACTCCAAAGCTACAGTCCAGCCCTGGATGTGTACTGTGGTCCTTGAGTGTTCTGCGAGATGAGCAAAGACTTCTAAATTTTAACTTGATGAGTGAGTGATGTCTTGTGGTACTGACAGTGCATCACGCCGAAGGGCACGCAACCACAACGGCTCCCTCGCTCCCTCCCTCCCCCCTTGCCTCCTTCCCTCCCTTTCTGTCTCTCCCTCTATTTTGATATACTAGAGCTTTGGGTTACCAGTGGAATGAACTATTCCTGCAAGCCATGAAAGTGGCTACTCAGGCCACCCGGATGCACTGTGCCATTTCCCATTCTGCTGCCTTAGTCCACCTTAATGTCCCCCATTAGACATTTCTTAGCATGTCACTGGCTATTACTTGAAAATCAGAAGCCGTCTGACTGCAGCATTTAAATATTGGGTGACAGCTCTGGTAGATGCGTGTTTCTACGGAGACGCAGAGAAGTTTCTGTCATGTAACTAGGGCAAGAGGAAAAAAGGCAGAAAAAGGAGAATTTTGGGTTAAAGTTAGCATGCGATCCAAACATCACTAAATTCACCACAGCGGTTCTGAGCCCGATCCGGGTGGCTCTTGCTAGCTGCAGGTCTTCTGCAGTAGTGAGGACAATAGATGGAAGCCCATGGTCACCTGGCGGCAATCACGCTCTTTGGCAGCGAGATCGCCAGTCCTCGCGTTCTTCTGCAATTCTCTTTCTTCCCAAATGGAGAATATTTTCTTTAGTCTCAAATATTCTAAAGCTCTAAGAATATAGTGGGATTTGAGAGTTTACTGCATAAATTGTCAAGCATATATTTTGAACATTATTGTTTACTTAGGAAAGGTAAAAGGCTACTCAATTGTATTTCATAAATTTTTAACAATTATGTAAATAGTATAGCATAAAAATAAATTCAAACTTCTGTATTGTTATTTGTAGGAAGAAAAAAGAAAAAGTTTGAAGCTTTCGAAGTTTGCAGTTAATAAATTTATTATAAATTGGAAACTGAACTGCCTCATGGACCTGGGCAAGTTACTCGGATGGCTAAAGGCTGCGCGTGCAGAGGTCCGTGTCCAGGGAAACTCAGGGGTCCTGGCTCAGTTTGGGAACGTACGTGAAAGCTGCTAGAACACACTTCCTCCTCCCAAACAAAGGCTCCGAGCTCCAAATCCACGCTGACAGGGTGTAGTTTCAGAGAGCAAATGAGCCCCATGGCCACACATAGGTAATAACAAGTTTTACGCCGTGAGTCATGGTGCTACAAATAATTTGCCCAGGAGACAGGCAGCAGGTGAGGCATCCTTTAATTCATTTCCTTGTCCTAAGCCTCATTTTTACTTTTCCTGTAAAACAGTCTGTTTTCCACTTCCCTTTGCAGAGGCCCCAGCGTGCCCTGCCCCGGGCAGCGGGTGCCCTCCCATCAGTGGCTCTCCTAGGACAGCCTCCTCACAGCCTGCTCTCCATCAGAATGAATTCCATCGCCCGTGCATTTCTGCCCCAGCACCCTGCACACCCAGGCATCCCCCAGGGCTGAAGGAAGCCACCAGGACAGGAGACGCAAGGAAAGCAGTCGTGGAATCCGGACAGCAGCAACGCATGGACTGACCCTCATGTGACTCACCGGGAAACCACTGCTCTTGAGATGCTTCATGCCGTGGCCATAGTCCAGTCTCTGGGCTGGTGGCCACGTCTGTCCTGCTCGCTTCATTCACACTGTTCACCCCTGTGTGCTTATTTTCTGGTTCTGCCAGTGCCCATTTCCTGTGTCCTTTGGCTTTAAATCCTCTGTCCATCCTTTGAACATTAGAGTCCTCAGATTGGTCCTTTCTGGCCTTCTCTGAGCTCTCCCTGAGCCGTCAGCTGGTCCCCAGGGTTCTGTACCCCTGGGAGTGACCCGTCGTCCACTCGCCATGCAGAGCCACACCCTAGGCATCATGTCTTGGTTTCCAGGGCCAACTGGGTGGTCCCCCTACCTGAGTCATGGTGCAGCAGGACTGGCACTTACTACCCGGCCACCCTTCATGTATTCCTCTACTTGCTTTCCGTGCCCGGGTTGGGGGCACACCCTTGTTCAGGCAAAAGTGCGGGTGTCATTGCTGACTTCTGACTTCTTCCATCCGGTCTCCTGGGACACTGAGTGCAGTTGGCGTGCCCTGGCCCATCTCCGTCCGCCCCACCCCGTCACTCTGCGGCTTCACCATCATCCCCAAGTTGTGCGCCCATTTGCTGCCTCCCCTTTCCACCCTGCTCCTCATCTTCCCCAGAGTTGTTTTAATAAATCCGAATGCAGGCTTGCCCCTGCTGACCCCTCAAGCTGGCTTTCAACCAGGGAAATGCTTCAAGCTATTTCACACAAGCTTATCTGAGCTTTTTCGATTTCTTTTATTTTCAAAAATCAATTCTCTCCGGCCCTTCCACTTATCAAAACCGATTCATCTTGTAAGACCTACTTTAACTTAAAATATATGATTGAAGACCAGGTGAAAGTTCCCGAGTGAATGCAGCAGTGGGAGGCTGGCCCTGAGATGCCCTAAATCACTTTGTAGAACTGCAGCCTCTCTGAGGAGATGGGGTGCATTGTCAGAAATAGCACCCCATCGTCTCAGCAGCAGGCCAACGTGCACTCTTTAACACTGCTGTGGTTTTGTTAACATTCCTCCCTGGAGAAGCCCTCTGCAGGAGCAGGAGCATTTTCAGTGATAGACTCTGGCGTTTTCCTATTAGATTTGCAAGAACATTACGCTGGAAGCATCAGCTTCAGAATATAAATCCATGTGTCTAACTTCTTGGCTTC